AAAAAAAAAAAAAAAAAAAAAAAAATTATTTCTAGGGCCAGGGATACAGATGAGTGGAGCAGTGTCTGCCTGGCAATCCTGAGGTACTGGGTTTGATTCCCAGTACAAAAACAAAAAAAAAAGTCATTTCTTATTATATCATAGTGGTTGCTTAAGATCCAGCTGCTCAAGAAAATGGGTTTCATCCTTTACACAGCATTATACAGGGACCCAGTTGCCACCTTTCCTGATGGCAGATGACTTTACTGGAAGCAACACTCCTGGCCCCCACCAGTCATGGGACTGTTTCTGCAAGCTCTGGGCCCCCGAGCTCTGGACCCTCAATTTGGGACCAGGATGCACCTCAGCAGGCCTGCTGGGAAAAGCCTGCTCTGGCCTCTCCTGACAGTAGGTGGGTTACTACTGCTTCACCCCACTGCAAAGTCAGTTGTGCTTGAGAAATCAGTCATGTATGATTCATAGCAGGATTCTGTTTCCCAGATAGGCCAAACTATAATTGTGTAGAAGAAGGCTAAAACCAGGGCCGGGGAGATGGCTCAGTAGAATAAGCGCTTGCCTGGCAAGCTCAAGGACCTCAGTTCAATCCCTGGTTCTGCCAAAAAAAAAAAAAAAAAAAAAAAAAAAGGCAAAAACCTATTTCCTAAAACTTCTATAAAATAGCACATTAACATAACAGAACCAACAAAATCATCATTTTGTTAAAAACAATGATGTGTAAGTAACATTTTGGAGTCTGAGAATATAGGTCAGTAGTAAGGAACTCGCCTAGCAGGCACAGAGCTGTGGGCTCAAAGCTCAGCACTGCATGGCCTCACGCGCCTGTAATTCCAACACTCAAGAGTCTGAGGTGCAAGGTTCTGGAGTTTGAGGCCAGCTTGGGTTACAAAGTGAGTTCAAGGCCAGCCTGCACTACATAGTGGGACCCTGTCTCCAAAAAACAAACAAACAAAACCCCAAACAAAAGTAATTTTGAGGTTGGGATTCTGATCAAAGATTCACCAAGTTTCAGTGCTAATGTCCCACATCATTCATACTTTTTTTCTTCTTTTTTGTCCTTTTGCCACAGGGTCTTCCTATGCAGTTCAGGATGGCTGTGAGCTGTTTGTAGCCCAGGCTGGTCTTGAACTATCAATGATCCTCCTGCCTCAGCCTCCCAAGCGCTGGGATTACAAAT